AGTATCTGCATCATCATCATGGAGGAGTCAGGGGGGGTGATGTAGAGCTTCATGTTGGTGGGGCAGATCTACAGGTGCGTTGCGCTGAGTATCTGCATCATCATCATGGAGGAGCCAGGGTAGAGATGGAGTTGTGAATATGAGTGTTCGTAACTGACTGCCGGTTGAAGCGGGGATCTAAGGTGAGCGGGGATTTGACACATGTGGTGTGCTTGCTTCCTGTGTACACAAACATTGAGAATTAACGTCGGCATTTGAGTCGGAAAAATCGTCTTCCTTATATTTCGAATTTATTTTAACAATATTATCTTTGGGCCGGGTACTGTGAAAAGTCTGAACGCGCCATTGGAGTTGTCATAGTAAGCCCTCTCACGGGACTATGCCAAGAAAATTGACACCTGTCGTATGTTAGGGCGACGTACTGTACCATGGGATCGGGTCAGTACACGCTGTTATCTGGCAGGCCGGTACAAACTGGGCAGGTCTTGTTCGAACTCAAATTTATGCTACGGGGATAAAGTGACAGACACAGTACACTGCAGTAGAAAAGATGCGCTCACCTCTGAAATACTTTTCCTTGCTATATAACCTTGATTTATACTCAAAATTTCCTCCTGCTCCCCTCCACATTAAAATATACTTGAAATTCCAGATTGAATCTTAACTTTAGAAACAATTTTTAACCACGTTAACCGTAGATTTTTCGTACTTGCTGTTTTATAAATTTTTAAGGGGCAAACTATTTTAGAATAACAAGTATGTGAGGGATCAAAACATGACTGAAAATATTCCAATTCCCTCCGCCCCTTTCCCCGTTGCTCCTTCTGAAATCCAGCAGATGTCATCTTCCCTCCTATTTCAAGTTTTCGAACCCATAACTCTTATCTATCTATCTACCGATCTATCTAACTATCTATCTACCGATCTATCTAACTGTCTATCCACCGTATCTAACTGTCGTAGAAAAAAGGAGTAAATTCATCTTTAGCCGTCAAAATCTAAACGCCTTGGTTAGATTTAGACCTCTTTGAATATAATAGAAGGTTTCTCTTGTTTTAAACCATTTTTTGGACTGCAAGGGTATAGTTTCACGTGACCCTCCAAATACATGCTATTAGACATGGCAATGTCCAATTCTTATAAGTTAAATGTTTTCTGCAGTATAAATGAGCAATTCAACTTTGCAGAGAAAACATAAAATAATAATGTTTTAAACTATACACTTTGATATGTAATTCATAATCTGACAAAGCCTTTGCATTAAGGGTCACATAAAATTACTTTAAGTCAAATATTAGTATAATGTCTAATTTTTTGGTGAAGGGGTATTGAGAAATTAGCAGTTATATTTGATAATGTTAAGATAAATATCAAAAAAATATTAACTTATGACAGATAAATGAACTCGTAAAGGGTCAAGTGACCCTTCATCCATACAAAGATGGCAATGTCCGATTTACAACGGTACTCTTGAAACCTTAATCTGATCAAAAATGTGGAAGATAAGACCGTTTTTCTGACTATAAAAGTGTTTATTTTTCAATTTTGCAGAGAAAACAGTAATGAAAATAAACATTTTAAAGAAACAAAAACATTGGAAATTAAAAACGTACTTGATCATACAAAGGATTTTCAGGGTAAGTTGCACATTCCCATCTTTGAAAGGAGAGTGACTTGAAATTAAGTTATTATATTAACATTGATCTTGTTCGATATGTTTCTAAAAAAATATCAAGTTTCGACAATACTTTTCGCTAAAGGTAGCTACCAGATTCATAACGGTGCCTTAAACCCTTTGTCTAATACAAGAGAACCATTCAATCAAGATTTATCAGTTTTCATATATATATATATATATATAGTTTACATTTTTTTAGTTTCTATATGTATGTATATATAGAAACTATTTTATATTTATATATAAAAAAGACAAGAGCAACTCAATATTTTTTCTCAGAAAAGTAAACGAGTTCTTTTGAGAATTGGTCCCTGGTTGTAAAAGTGTTAAGGAGAATCTATATGTTTCAATTTTTTAAATCTAGCCATTTTTTCCATCAACATTACTTTGTTAAAACACACTGTGGACAAATATATATATATATATGAATATATAAAACCCCGATTTATCGGTCTGATTTTATATATTCGCCCACATGTATATATATATGGATCCCTTTTTACACAGTATACACCCGGTCCAAGTTTCTCGATCTCCATTATAGTATAACTAGACAAGGTTACTCACAAAGAATGAGACTTCAGAGACGATTGTTTGGAATTTGTTTAGTCTGTTTTCTTGTATTCAGAGTTTCTTGATTGGAAAAAACCTGCTTATTTTGTTATTAATCATCTAGTAAACCACTAAAATTCTCAATTGAATGCTGAAACCAAAAATCAAGCTCCAAATTGTCATTTTTTTAGAGTTTTGGGTCGTCTTTACAATCTCATTCTTTGAGGTTAACCCTGCACATAAACTCCTTGAGAGATGTAAATAAAAGGATTTCATTTTTTTTTTATTTTTCGTTTAATAGATATCCAAAACTTTATCGTGAATATACCATTTTACAATCATAAAAAGAATGGTTTTACATGCAGATATTTTTAACAAACATTAATACAAAAATAGGTTTAGAAATGAGGCTCTGACTCTGAGCCTCTTATTGATTGATTAATAAAAAGAAATTTTTTTTTAAATTTTCTTGAATTTGGAATCCTTATTAAATTTATTTCAAAATAAAAATTATGATGAATATTTTCGTAAAAACGCAAATTATTTAAGCACTGAAAACTCCGGAATCTACAGAATTCCCCAGATCTTCTGAATCCAGTGAGGAGGGACCCCCTTCATACTCTTCATCATCATCAAATTCCTCCTCCTCATCACCATCTTCATCATTATCATCATCGTCACAATTATCATCTTCATCATCATCATTAGCATCCTCTTCGGAAGATGATTCCTCTGAGCTGAAATTAAGTATTTTGATTATTTTGTATCAAACATGTATTCAAACCCAAGTTCAACCTTCAGATATTTTATTTTCCAAGAGATTCAGGTCGTTAGCTTATTCTCATCCTTTGTTAGTAACCCTTCACATAAATTTTACTGCAAGATGATACAGTGAAACCCTTAATAATGAATACATCGAAAGAATTTATCAAATGTCGTCTTGACAATTTTTCAATGAGTTTTATACTATATTACGTAAATTTCAGTATTTGCGAAAATAGATTAATAGCCATGAATATGCAGGAACAGTTTTAAAGAGTTCCATATAATAATTTAATTAAAAAACTAAATATCTGCAACATTCCATTATCAGAAAGTGAAGAATACGACATTTGATGAATTCTTTCGATGTATTCGTTATTAAGGGTTTCACTGTAATTCATTTGGTGTATACTGTTTCGTTTCGTCTTGTATAATTTGGATGTGTAATACAGCTTGTTCTAGCTGCAGATATGAAGCCTAATCCTTTATAGTATCAAACCTGGAACTTGAATCGTCTTCGCTAATGTCGTCTTCATCTTTTACTCTTTCTTGAAGAACATTCAAGATGTCTGCGATCAAAAGATCCCTGTAAACAAATGTAAATGGTCATAATGTTTTCGAAAAGGATAATAATGATAATAGTGGTAATAATGATGATAATGATACTATTATTAATAATAATAATAATTACTATAATAATTTAAAATGAAAATAATGATTTTAAAAATCATAATTATGAATAAAAAATAATGAGAGATTAAAAAATTAAAATTATTTGAGAACATCATGAAAAATAAATTAAAATCAACCTTTTGTTTTGAACATAAATCTTTTTTGCCAAATTTAGAGCTTGGTCCCAATTACCCTCAACCATATTCTAGGACAAAATTAAAAATAATTTATATTGATGTAATTTCAAGTAACCTTCCATTTATAACTATATCTTTTATATAAACCTCTATCTCTTATCAATTATTGGAAAAAGGAATTGATTCTTTGCCACAAACTCTGATTTTCTAATCCCTCTTTCTTTGGAACCCAATGTCGTAAACCTTTGATATTTCAAACTTAAATTATTTGATCTAATAGAGGTCATAGTTTGAAATGTCAAAGGTCTACAACATTGGGTTGCAAAAATATACGGAAGAGAAAATCAGAGTTTGTGACAAAAACTCAATTCCTTTTCGCTTTCAATATTCAAAAGTGCTAAATTCTGTCCGCATGTCGTTTTACGAGATTGTGATGGACCAAACCTATCGTTTTACGAGATTGTGATGGACCAAACCTGTCGTTTTACGAGATTGTGATGGACCAAACCTGTCGTTTTACGAGATTGTGATGGACCAAACCTCTGTAGAGAAAAAAAAGAGTAGATGTTAGTTCAACATTTTATTGAAAATATATACTTCGGTCTAGGTTGACCCTCGTCAGTTCTTAGGTTATAATAACCATCGAAATCGATGTTAAAAACCACTAGAAAATAAACAAGCAAAAAAGATTATTTAAAAAATTTAAATGGGTTGTCAAATGGACAAAAGGGAAACGAACTCAGATCATGAAATGGAAAAAAGATAATTTGCAAATATTCACTTTTTTAAGAATGTTTAAGAAAATTATTATTTCTCGAGATTGTTTCTGTCATGAAGATTAAAAACAAACTGTTTAGTTTATGTGAATAGTGTATAAAGTGGTGGTGGGGGTCGATCTAATTAACGAACTTTTACGTAAACCAGGAGGGGGGGCGGCTTGTCTAAGGAGGGGTATTTAAACCTTTTAATGATTTGGAAATAAACAATACTCTTTTTTTTAAATACTTAATTACAGTTTACAATTAAATATCACATAAATAATTATTAGCGATCAAAATTAGGATATCTCATTAATGCATCCATGAGTATATTATAGGGGTAGAGTTTGTTTTTAAACTTTGTGACAGAAACAATCTCAAGAACTGACAAGGGTCAACCCAGATCGAAATATATTTTCAATAAATGTGGAACTAACATATAGTTTTTTACGTTACAGAGGTTTGGTCCATCACCATCACCGAATTTTAAAATGGGTAAAGTTACATTGCCGGTCAAAGTCATCAAATTAAAAAAAAGAGAGTTTGACTACTTCTGAATTAAGAGATTAGCAATTTTTAATGAAAATTGTTTAATACGTTTGTTTTTGTACGTGGATAAAGATTTTTTATAAAAATAATATTTACATTTACAAATACAACAAAATAAATAGCCCCGAATTAATTAACAATATGTAATAAGACAAAAACAAACCTTTGCGAGTTCAATCCTATTTGAAACATAAATATTGTATAATGCATTATATAAGAAATTTGAGGAAAAACGTGATCTTTTAAAAAAGAAAAAAGTACAAGGTGTCTCAAAAAAATTGGTAATAAGGGCCTACAGACTCCTTTGTAATCGGAATTTTAAAAATAAGACTTTTTTATATCTACGTACAAGTTCCGATTCAATGGGCTCAATTTTAGGCTTGTAGATCTAAAAATGACAATTTTAAAGCTGCTCCTAAAGTTTCTGACAAGAATAAGTAAATTTGGTAAAATAAAGATAATCTCCCTTTGCTTAGAAGGGTCTACAGACTTGTGCAACGGAAATTATCTTTTACTTTTTACTTCGCTCCAGTTGGAAACTTTAGGAGCCTATAAAATTTAGATCTACAAGCTTACAATTGGGCTTATTGAATCGGAAATTGGTCTCAATCTTGAAAATCCGATTACAATCAAGTCTGTAGATCCTTATACAAAAAGGTGCAAACGGAGATTATCGTTATTTTACCAGATTTATTCACTCCAGCCGGAAACTTTAGGAGTCTTTAAACTTGTTCTTTTAAGATCTACAACCCTAAAACTGAGCTTATTGAATGGAAATCGTACGTAGATTTAAAAAATGGTCTTAATCTTGAAAATCCTATTACCAACGAGGCTATGCCTTTCCCCCCCGTTTTTTTGAGACACCCTGTTTGGAACTTTGATTAAATTACTTTCTTGCATCAAAATTAAGCAAATAAAACATTTTTAAAATTTTTTTTCAAAATATTTTTTTCCTGAGTTCGGTCATTTTGGCAGCACATGTACACTTGCTGTACTATTATCATGTACACGTACACTTGCTGGATTATTGTCATGTACACTTTAATTTGTTATTATAGCGTCCATGAGATATTGTTCTTTCAGATATGCTCTTATCAAAAAATTAGTTTAAGAAACCTTTCCATCTCTTTTCAAATATATTTTATGATTTTGATTCATGAAAATACTAAAACTTTGAAATTAGACTAAAGTTGGTGTATATGTAATATGTATACATCTGTTGTGTGTACTGTGTACTGTACTAGTGTATATAGTGGAGAATTTCTTTCTAACCTTTCTTCATTGTTTGATCAATTGTTTTACAAAACTATCGTGAAGCTTCCCCCAAAATTTACTCACGAAGGGACAAAATCGTTTTTCTTTTTTTTCAAACCATTATTCTTTATTCATTATTCCATGACTCTCCATATTTTGCACAAAATGCTATAATGTATCATTACTTATATTACTGTAAAAATAGTTCTAATTATTTCGTGGACGAAAACTTTCGCGAAAAAATGCAAAAAACGATGCAAAATTTCGCGAAAAAATATTTTTGCAAAAAATAATTTCTAGAAAAAAAAATTCCACGATAACCATAAGTGTTGTAGCTGCTACAATTAATTGCGCAAAAGACTTGTCGAATTCTTTGCTCTGAGATCTCACCATTAGAAGTTTTTTTATAGCATAAATAATAATTTCTCTTCCTTTACTTTAATAAATGTTTAATGAGGAGAATTTTGATAAAAAGAATTTTTTGGCAAACCGATTGCAACTTTTCGCTGTTTGTTTTGAATTTCTAATATGGGACCGAATAAGTTTGCTTTTCTTTTTAGCAATACAGTTTAAGCTTTTGGCACTATAATAAGTCCTTCGGAAAAATGTCAAGAAATCTTGTTAAAAAAAAGTCTTATCATTTTTAAACTTTTTCTTCCGTAGATGTTGATCAGAAAATGACGTGATAGATTCCCCCCGCAGTATATAGATCACCCCCCCCTCCCCCCACAGTATAAACTACCTTGTAAAGTCATGAAACCTGTAAAATATCCATATTAAGATGAATCTGCTAGCCGTATCGATTAAGGTTCAGTATTCTATACAGAAGCTTAACATACAATTCTTCAGAAAATATTTTGATTAAATTTAGGAGAAAGAAAGTTTTTGTCACAAACTCAAATTATCTAATCCCTATATCTTTACAATCTGATGGTGTAAACCTTTGATATTTCAAGCTTAGATTATTTGGCCTAACAAAATTCATAGTTTGAAATATCAAAGGTCTACGACATTGGGTAGCAAAGATATAGAGATTAGAAAAGTAGAGTTTGTGACAAAAACTTAGTTCCTTTAGATAACTTTATAACCAATACAGTGACTCGTATGCCTTCTACTATCAATAAATTTAACAAAAGCATATTTGAAAATTGCTTCAGGTTTTTTAAAGTTTGTTTGTCCTTTGAATATATTTGTTTATAAACCTGGCGAGTAAGTTATTAGTTGGACAAAATACCATTAAACACCAACTCTAAGAGAACTAAAAATCTATAAACCCACTGTAAAGTGGCTCTTTACAATCTTATGTCCTTCCCTTTCAAGAGATCTGTCGAAATCAATTTTTGAAGTCGCTACAAATCAAGATTTTAAATTTTAAATTTTCTATCTTTGTTATTTCTTTTGGTAAAAAAATCTGTAATAATAATAAAATATGAAGTAAACATTTATTCCTTTTGTCAGAACAATGTCAGATGTTATAGAAGAAGATGAAATTTCTGCAGTAAGTTACAATTTATTAAGAAAAAGATAAAAAACATTCTTGAAATAATTTCTTTTAAATTAACTCTCTCAGTTTGGAAAAACTTTAACCGGGAAATAGTTCCTTTGCATTTATAAAAACTTTAAAATATTAACATATTTTATGTTAATTGATGTTAATTGATGTTAATTGATGTTAATTGATGTTAATTGATGTTAATTGATGTTAATTGATGTTAATTGATGTTAATTGATGTTAATTCATGTTAATTGCGTACACAATAACCCTGAGAGAGAAGCTTGAAGGAGTTACGCGCAGCATGCTCTCCCTCTGTTTTGTAACTCAAAGCGGCAAACGCGTAACTTCTTTCTTTGGGCTCTGCCTCAGGATTATTGTGAATGAAGAACCCTTATATCTTAAAAAGACGGCATCTAGTAATTTTATTAATCTATGGATAGATGTCTGGTGATTCTGATGTATATGCTACAGATGGTGAAAAAAAAGAAACATCTCTTTTCGCAGCTGTAAGGTATATTTAATACCTTGATATAAATATCTAATAGAAATATCAATTATAAATATGTATCATGTATAGATATTTAGAATTGGTATCAACCTACAGTGAGATACCAGAAAACAATGGTAATTTATGTTGTTAATTAAATCACTTTTTTGTGAACTGTGTCTGTTTACACTGCACAATTTCTGTGTCTCATGCTCACTGGACCTTTTTTGACGTTTTTTTCTAAAAGTCGTCTTCCTTTGTTCAGAGTGTTTTCATTATCACTGTATTTGATGCGTATTATCATGATCATCTAATTTAAGTTTCTGCTAATGTCGACTACTGTAATTTCCTAAATTCTAAGGAGTAATTTTCTCGTTGATAAACTGAACACCTGTTGTTTTCTTGTTGAATAAACTGAACACCTGTTGCTTTCTCGTTGATAAACTGAACACCTGTTGTTTTCTTGTTGATAAACTGAACACCTGTTGTTTTCTCGTTGATAAACTGAACACCAGTTGTTTTTTTTGTTGATAAACTGAACACCTGTTGTTTTCTTGCTGATAAACTGAACACCTGTTGTTTTCTCGTTGATAAACTGAACACCAGTTGTTTTTTTGTTGATAAACTGAACACCAGTTGTTTTCTTGTTGATAAACTGAACACCTGTTGTTTTCTTGTTGATAAACTGAACACCTGTTGTTTTCTCGTTGATAAACTAAACACCTGTTGTTTTCTTGTTGATAAACTGAACACCTGCAGTTGTTTTCTTGTTGAATAAACTGAACACCTGTTGTTTTCTAGTTGAATAAACTGAACACCTGTTGTTTTCTTGTTGATAAACTGAACACCTGTTGTTTTCTCGTTGATAAACTGAACACCTGTTGTCGGTGAAGGCACTTAACGATGCATCTAACGGAGAACAAAAAACCAATTACTTACAATTATTTGACTTTAAAGTTTGTTATTTTTTTCAAAAATGGTGACCTATTTGGCTATTATGTTTTCAGTTCAGTCTAATGTTGTTTTAAATAATATATTTATTGGTAATGAGAATATGCATTTTAAGTTCATTTAAGAGATACATTATATTCATGACAGTTTTAAAAGATTGATAGAAAATTCTATCAGATTTATATGCAGCATTTTTTCAGTGTGCTTGTTAGGTATAAAATCATTAAACACTCTATTGGGATTGATTTTTCAATTTGACCGGCTTAAAAACTTATATATCTTACTATAAAACCGGGAGAATATTAACATCAAGGTTTAACGATATATCCGACATGAAACTTTACCATCAGATTCTCATTCAATATTGAAATTAATCTGGATAAACTTTAAAACTAGTTCTTCACTTTCCATACAAGTTTTAACAGCTTCTTAGATAAAGATTAGAAAACTTAAAGCGCACTGCTGTACTCTGACCCCAAAAGCCTGATTCAGTTTTGATCTGTAGTCTGAACTCGATGTGTGCAAATGCTGAATCAGGGTTCTAGAACCAGTAAAAACCAGTTTAACCTGTTTAAACCAACTTTAACCAGTTTGAACCTATTTGAACCATTTTCCCCCGGTTTAAACCAGCCTGAACAAGTTGGAACCAGTTTGAACCGGTTTAAACCAGTTTACCGGTTTATACCAGTTTGAACCAGTACAAACCAGTTTGAACCAGTAAAAACCAGTTTGAACCAGTACAAACTAGTTTGAATCAGTACAAACCAGTTTGAACCAGTTTAAACCAGTTTGAACCAGTTTGAACCAGTTTAAACCAGTTCGAACCTGTTTAAACCAGTTTGGATCGGTTCAATAAGTTAATTCCACTTATTGAATAGCTTTGGCTGGTAGCTAAGTATAATTTGCTTCATGCGCAATTCGCATATTTTAGAAAATTAGAAAAAAAAATAATATAACATTTAAAGTACAGGGACACCAACTTAACTTAAATGAGACTATAATGATGACCTGAAACTAGGGTTTCTACCGGAATTCCGGGTTGTGGTTATGTACGGAAATGATCCTGAAATTTTTTCCATTTCCATTATGGAAAAGGTTCTGGAAATTCAGAATTCCAGAACAATTTCTGGGACGATTTTTTTCAAAAACTGGAAATTCCAGAACCTTGTTCCGGAATTACAGAACGTCCCGACATATTGTTCTGGAAAAATTCCGGTTTACGGAAAAATCATTCCATTATTTTCTGGGATAAGGTTCTGGAAAAACATTAAAGACATTTTAAACTTATATAAAAGATCAAACCAGCAAGTAATACTATCTACATAGAATGTGCGCCTGGTTTGGCTGTAGTTAAAGTTAGACTTCTGTAAATTATCATGAAATTTAAATCCTGACTGCCATGTCTCAAAATAATTTCATCTACAGAAAACTGTGGAAAAGAGAACGACAAAGCAAATAGGTTAAATAGTAACTTATAAAATCATTTTTAAGTTGGTCTGTATACAGTATTGTGAACTAAACAAAAGGATATTGACTCGAAAACGGCGGCGGGAATGGAACTAAGGAAAGTCAATTCAAGGAACCGAAAGGAGGAGAATATGGTTTGGAACCGGGTATATATTTCTCATGAAAACTTCTCAAGGGATGACAAATCCAAAGGCGAATGGCTAGTTAAAACACTCTAATTTTCCACACGATACATAGGCGATAACTTCTTGTTGAAAATATATTTCAGTAACAAGGTTTCCTACAGTAAATATAAATTGTTATTGACCTACATGTGTATAATTAAATGATTGTTAATAAAGATTAAAATAGTTGAGTGTAATTATAAATAAATGAGTATAGTTGTGAATCAAACAATTGGTTTTAAATATATGTACCGTTGAGAATTAACAGAGGCTTAAAAGCTACTGTTGTGAATTGATAAATAAAAGGTTTAGAGGGTACTGTTGTGAATCAAACATAAGGAACTTACGATCTAGAATTGTATAGCATGGGGAATAGTTGTTTGAATTGTAGTTCTAAAGCGATTTTATTCTTCTGAAATAAATATTCATTTGGTTAAAGGAATTTCACTGTTGGTTTACAAAATGATTCACTGGAATTGTGTTTAAAATTGTTTCTTTTTAATGAACTTTAAGTTTTATTTGCTGCATGTGGACTTTGTTTACTTTTATGGGGAGACCTTGAAATGTTTGGTTTGGAAAATGAACAGAGGGTCTAACAGAGGTACAATTTGTCAGAGACGACCTTACAACAGAGTAGATTATGGGATATGGTTCACAAGTATACTATACACTACGTAATCACTGTGTCTTAAATTCATTGAACTATTTAAAGTCATAACAGAAGTCTAACAGTCACCCTCATATTCCAAAGTTTTCTGGTTCTCACTCTGTTTATATACTTTGCTCGTCTGTTTTTTATCCGCTTGTATCCAATAAACGTCAAAACAGTTGAACCAACTGAGCCTAAAATTTGTGAGGCAACTCACATGGCCCAGGGGAAGGTATAAAACTGGTTTAAAAAATTTTGCGGGAAAAAATGTCAAAATGTTTTTTTTAATTCACCAATGTATAGCCTAGTTTTTATATAAACTCTTATTTATATGGTTCATTTCATCCCATCCTGATCAAATACAGAGTGGGGAGGCCTAACCTATTTAAGGACCCTCTTAAAAAAAAACTAATTTGTCAATAAATATTGTGGGAAAGTGAAAACTGTAACTGTAAAAGTCATGATGAACTATATTTGTGAATTTATAATTATAGAACTAAATGCGTATTTTATATATGTCAATTAATAAGTTTTAACTTTTAAAGTTTTAACATTGCTTTCTATGTCATAACATTGAGTTAAAATTTCCGGTCTACAAAATGGAAACTGGAAATTTTACGGTTTCTGTAATGTAAACAGGAACAATTTCTGGATTACGATATGGAAATTGGAAATTTTATGGTTTCCATTCGGTACACCTGAAAAATTTCTGGATTACATCACATAAATCGTAAACATTCCGTTTTCCATCTTTGGAATTATCCCAGAATTCCAGTTTACGCAACAAATTTCAGGATCATTTGATTTCCAAAATGGAAATTTGTTTCGAAAAATGAAAACCCCGCCTGAAACTCTTTGAATATGATGATATAAAGGTTGAATTCTTTGAATTAACCTGTAACATTTATAAGTTAATATTGTGTAAGACGATAGTCAGCCTCTGTAAGAGAGTTCCTTAACAGTACACAGAGTCAGCTAGGAATCATACAAAGCATTCTACATTCATCTATCTGATATGTAAACATTAATAGTTCGCCCTAAACCTGTTAAGTGAAGCCTTTTAAGCTAAGCCTGTTAAGTTATGAGTAAATGTATTCTGGAATAGTTATCCTTGCGTTTTACTAGAGTCCATCCTCCCTGAAGACAGCGGTTATTAGTTTCCGTTTATGTTAGCCGCCATGGACCATCCTATTCTGGGAGTAGACTTCCTGGCTGAATTTGATCTCCTAGTTGACCCCGCCAAACACCAAGTTCTCCCACATTAAACCTTTGAGACTCTTGCTCCTCCAGTATTCTTACCCACCGATTCAGCTGTTGCCTGCATCTTCAAGCTTGCTCCTGATGTTGCCTTCCTGTTGGATGAGTATCCTGGTTCTGGGAAACCCTGTCTCCCAGGTAAACTGCCAGAACACCAATTTGAACATGTGATTGACACAGAAGGACTGTCCCTCTATTCCCATTCCCTCAGTTAAGATCAAGTTAAATTAGCTCTTGCTAAAGCAGAAATTCAGAAGATGGAAACGGGGGACATTGTTTGCCATTCCATGTAAGGGATGGCGTGGGTTCATTGATCTGAACTTGGAAGATAGGAGTAGGAGGCTAGACTTGGGGCAGTCGAGTACGATCTCTCGAGGAGCCTGGTGGAAGCAGAGCCGTTCAAAATCATGATGATTCCTACCATCGCTGTGTTGATATAAATCATTTGATTTGTATTCCTATTTAATCAATAAAGTATTCGTTTTGTGTTTAATTTCGTTATTTTTTTATATCATGAAGTAAATTAGAAGAAATTAAGATTTGGTAAAATTGAGTTTGTTTCAAACTATACATTAGTATCCTGGAAAGTGTAAAAATTCAGGGTGTTGATTGCAGAATTCGAACAGTCAATCAGAAAGCCAGGACATCTTGAAATTTTGCGCATTCAATCACTGAGAGAACTCTCACTGGTTGCAAGAGAGAATTAAGCATAAAATCATAATGTCGACAGGGGATTAAAAGATTTAGAAATATACAATTCTATCTATTACAATAGTTTTCATGCTCTGACCCAAAGAAAAGTACACTTTAAATATTTTAAATTTTGACTTTTCTTCTTAAGCAGAGTTCATAGTCTAAAAAGATATAGGGATTATAAAGATAGAAGAACAAAAAGAAAAAATATTTACTTTGAAAAAAAAAAAACAGAAAACCTTAGAATCTCAGAGCTCAATTTAAACTATTGTTTGCAGTTACAATGCCTTATCCCCGGAAAGGATCAAGTAGAAGGATAAAATCTGGCCGCAAGCTAGTTGTTCCTGAAGAACCTAGTACTGAGATGACTGGAGATTATACAGAGCAAATTCAAATATCATTTTTTACAGCAGCAAGGTGCTAAACCGTCCACCTTGGACATTGGACAATTTGAAGTTGAACTGGACCAACTGGTACCGTCCTGGCTGCCCAATCGTATGTGTGCACGGTTTCAACTGTGATGGCGCGGCCAGACTTTTTACAGTACCGGGCCTATCGTACAGGGTGTCCCAATAAACATGGGAATTCAGTGACGAATTCAATATCGTCTTTTAAAATAATTCTTTGATTTAGTATGTGATACCTACTGAGAAAGCTGTAATCTATAAGAGTTTCGTGTGCTATGTTCACAATTTGTTTGTTTATGTTTTAACTACATACGGTTGTACTTAGTAAAACAAGAAAATTGCAATTTACAAACAGAGTAAACTTATCCGTCTTCACCGTTCATCTTGCGGAGACATTAAACACATCTTTACAGCCATTTATTATTTTTGAAATTAGGTATTACAATACTAATTCATAACAAAGACGATATCGAATTTGTCACTGAATTCCCATGTTTTTTGGGACACCATGTAGCTTTCTTTAGTATGCATCAAGAAAGAGCTCCTAATGTTATACCTCTCTCAAATACCGAAGACAGTTCATGATTTTGAAAACTGTAATAGATTTAGATTTTGGACTTATATTGTGAGGTTTACTTAGTCCTCCTATCGGTCGGCAACATGAGACCAGTGACCGAATTTAAAGAATTTGAGCGGCGGTTTAAATTTAAGCCGTGGTTTAAATATGGTTGGTTTTACTTAAAATTGTATCAAAAGTTTCAAGATTTAAGCCGGCGCTGAATTTAAACCGGGTTTTGGCGGATTTAAGCCGCAGCTCAAATTCTTTAAATTCCATCTCAGGATACAATGGCCTACTTGTTTATTACTTTACTATTTTACTTTGATACTTTCTTGAAACCCGTCACAGGGAGAAAAAGCATTTCTATCATATTTTTGGATTAAAATTAAAATTAAAATTTTGAGTAGTAATTCTTAAAGGGAATTTAATACTGAACGGCTGGAAATGCGAATAGGAACTTTGAAACTACGTTGTAAACAGTCCCTTTAACACATCAATTATTAACAATGACATCAACTTAATGTATACAATTAAAGCTACAGCAACAAGAAAACTCTGAATTAAAAAGTTCAATTTTAAACTCAAGTTATGACTTTAAATTGTGCAATGAGCATTAGACATAGCAATTGTGCAGTATAAACAATCCCTTTCACTTAAAAAGTAATTATAACTTAATAGCAAAGCTATTTACTTTGTGACTACATCATATTCATTTTATTGTTGCTTTAATGTCGTCTTCCTAGTCTTCCTATTTACAAATAGGAGTGGCAGACATGCCCCCCCCCCATCCCTCCTTATACATGGAGATATGATATGAAAGAGCATATATTCTAGGATAGCTTGTTGGATGGCTATAGCATATGATTAATATATTCTAGGATAGCTTGTTGGATGGCTAGAGCATATGATTAATATATTATAGGATAGCTCGTTGGATGGCTAGAGCATATGATAAATATATTCCAGGATAGCTCGTTGGATGGCTAGAGCATATGATAAATATATTCTAGGATAGCTCGTTGGATGGCTTGAGCATATGATTAATATATTATAGGATAGCTCGTTGGATGGCTAGAGCATATGATTAATATATTCTAGGATAGCTCGCTGGATGGCTAGAGCATATGATTAATATATTCTAGGATAGCTCGTTGGATGGCTAGAGTATATGATTAATATATTATAGGATAGATCGTTGGATGGCTAGAGCATATGATTAATATATTCTAGGATAGCTCGCTGGATGGCTAGAGCAAATGATTAATATATACTAGGATAGCTTGCTGGATGGCTAGAGCATATGATTAATATATTCTAGGATAGCTCGCTGGATGGCTAGAGCATATTATTAATATATTCTAGGATAGCTCGTTGGATGGCTAGAGCATATGGCTATATGGCAAAAAAGAAGGAATCCTATAAAGTGGAACAGGTATACTCTCCAGTAAAGCCAATAAAGACTCAATCAAAAATATTATTTGGAAAAAAAGTTATGAATTGTGTACTGCAAATTATTTTGAAGGAAATAATTTATTTCCAATAATTTTCTTTCAAAGATGTTTCTTTTTGTTTTGAATTACTTTGACAAAGTTTAATTCTATCATATTTATTTTCATGAAATTTCATGACTTTCTTTCTAAAAAGTCTTTGTTAGCAAAATACTATGACTTTATTTCCCATAGTGCTTTTTTCAAAGGACTTGGGCAAATTGCGGGCTTTTTATCATAATGTTTTATATTCTACTTTTTTCAAATACTTTCTTCCCCATGACTTTCTTAGATACAGGGTGTCCCAAAAAACATGGGAATTCAGTGACGAATTCGATATCGTCTTTATGAATAATTCTTTGATTTAGTATAGTGATACCTACTGAGAAAGCTGTAATCTGTAAGAGTTTCGTCTGCTATGTTTAAATTTTGTTTGTTTATGTTTTGACTGCAACCGGTTGTACTTAGTAAAACAAGAAAATTACAGTATACAAACAGAGTAAACTTGTCCATATTCACTGTTCATCTTGCGGAGACATTATAGACACATCTTTTCAGTCTTTTACCCTTTTCATTAAATAAACTCTAGCAGACATAATAATGTTATGGCTTTTGAAATTAGGTATTACAATGCTAATTCATAACAAAGACGATATCGAATTCGTCACTGAATTCCCATGTTTTTTGGGACACCCTGTAGATTCTATTCTCCAGCTTTGTAATCTCATTTTCTTTGGAAAGGATTCTTCGCAATCATTTAATTTAGAAGATTAAGAATTAATTACTGAAGACAATTTATCCCCTCACAGAACAAAAATGATAAATTCAGTCTGTGTCTCATCGCGTTTTTGCTTGAAAAAAAAACGTTATTTGCGAGCGAGAAAAACAGACGATAGTTTTTATAAATTAAAGTGGCTTTTCTTCCAGCATTCAGAAACATCTTTGGGGTATAAATTGTAATATTATAGGATAATTGTGTACTTAATTCTAAAAAATGGTGTGATTTGCAGTCGTGTACATGTATAAAATGAAGACGACTTTTGATTTTAATTTTTGTTTTCTACCTAGATTTCAAATCAGCATGGATACATAATATATAAACATACAACATGGAAACAAAGAGAAACTGTCAATTTACAATTTCTCTTTGTTTACTTGTAAACATGTAATTTGAAAAAAATCTTGTTAGAAAAGTCGTCTTCATTGTATTGAAATAAACTGTATTATGTACACTTTACAGGATAAGACCTACTGTGCGAAATCTAAGCATTTTTTCCCTAGCATTCAGGGTTCCTCGCAACTGTGCACATTCTTTCTTTGCAAAATCAAAAAGTTTACCATTGCATGACAGAAGGTGGTAGGCAATTATTTCAATATAATGAAGACGACATTTTTATTTGAATTTAAATTGTTAACCTGCTTTTTTCGAAAAACAAGTTTGCAAGTAATTAAAGTGAAGCTTCTCTTTGTTAACATGTTTTTGTATATTCATGCTGTTTAAAACTTAACATAAATCAAAATTGAAATCAAAAGTCGTCTTCATTATATTGATGTAATCGCCTACCACAGTGTATTTAAATTCAAATATTAAATCTAACCTTCAGCACATTATTTCTAAAGTTTACAAGGTCGTGATTGAAGTAACATCCTGTGTGGGTAGCAATGTATATATATCAACCAATCAACACTCCTTCTAGATAAATATATAGAAGACGACTTTTAAATACATTTACTGTATTTTATTTATGTAAAGACTAGCTTAGCAACCTCAGCTTTGTCTGGAACATAAATGTATAGTCTTTAAAAACAAACAGAGATTAGTACAGTGAGAACCAGAAAACTTTGGAAAAGTAAGACGACAGTGAAGAAATAATTAAATGTTTTTGATGTTGAATACAAAGCAATTAGTTTTACGTCGTCTTTCTATTTTAGAGTTTTCTGGTTATTACTATAGTAACTTATTAGATTTAATTTGAAGTGAAATGGATTCGATGTTTATATTGCCCAATTTTCACTGTACATTATGCACATATATTTAGATGTACGGGAGTACGGTAGAGATACAGAAGATACAAAGAATGGATTCTGAAGAGGAAATTGTTGATGATGAAGATATTGATCTATCACCCACCACAGGGGACCCGGACAAGGATATGGAAAAAGTAAATATTTTTCCAGAGCGGAATTGTGGATATCGAGATCAATGCTTGATCTCTTCCTTTTGTTAATCTTAACACTATAAAAATTAGTTTGTATCCCAGATAGTTTCTAAAATGCAACCAATCAGAAGCCGGGAAATTTAAAATATTACGCGCATTTGGTCGGAATTCCAAAAAGATGGAAAAAGATGAAAAAAGAGCGGATGAAGCAAAAACCAAGTATTCAGAGTGGATATTCAGATTAAGCCATCGCTATTAAGGGTATCTAATTATAAAGTTTTCTGAGCTGAAAACTTCAGAATGGTGGATATCGAGATCAGTCCTTGATCCTGTCTTTTTCTCTAGATTAAATAATGCTTGTTCTCCTCTTGTTATTAATCTCAAGATTAATTAACCGATCGGGATTAAGGATATCCCATTCTAAAGTTTTCAGCTCTGGAGATTAATAACAAGAGGAGAACAAGCACTGTTAAATCTCGAGATTAGGAAAAAGAGTGGATCAAGCATTAATCCCAATATCCAACATTCAAAAGTTCACAACTCATACTCAGATTTGTTTTTGAAATTAAGTGATAACTTTAAAATCGTCTTTTATTAACGCAGCATGAAACTTCAGCGGTAATTGATCTTAAGCTAAAATAAATGTCGTCTTTTTTCTTTCAAAATTTGATATTTAAAGATATTTAGTCCAGGCATTTGAAATTAATTCCCCGAACTTCTCAATTCTGACTTGAAAAGTTTTTATTTCTGGGATCTTCGCCATTGTTTCTTAAAGGTAATAAATGTGGAAGTAATTTTAGCAAAGAAACCAAAAATGAAAATAAACAGTTCAAAGAAACAAAAACATGGATATCTTGAGAATCGGACAATTCCATGTTTGCATGGAGGGTAACTTGAAATTACGCTTACAGTCCCTAAAAGTGTAAAAACAACCGATTGTTTTGCGGAAACCTTTGGAAAAGTTTGGATAAAAAATCAAAAAAAAAAAATATATTCAAGGAAGAATGAGATATCTTTTGTTTTTCCAACTAAAAATTGATTATCTTAGACCAAGCAAAATGAAGATTTGTTTAGATTAGAAATAAAAAAAATTGATGTTTTACCACTGTTAAATATAGACATATAGAGATAGACAAATGACGGTATCTTCAATATTGTTAATTTGTGATTTTGGCATTTTATACTTTCCATGTACTGTTCAGGTATGCATGTGGTATGCCAAGATGTACGGGCAAAGGAATGCTATGTACCATGAAGCGTACAATGATGAATTGTACCGTCAAGCTAAGATGCTGAACTGAACTGACTCTATATCAACCAATAAATCAAATCAATCAAATCAATCAATCGATTCAATCAATCAATTCAATCAATCAATTCAATCAATAGCTTGTGGATGAATGTCTGTTTCGATCGAACTACAGACACGAAAATAATGAACAGTTTTCAGCGGTTTTAAGACATTGTGTCCAAAATAAAAGCCAATTTCGCTTGGATGGCAATTTTTTTTATTCAAAATTGTTGAGATTGACAATTCTCCAATTCTAGTTGAACATTTTCAGATTTAAAAACATTTAAATATAGACCCCTTAACATTAACCCATTTAAATATAGACCCCTTAACATTAACCCATTTAAATATAGACCCCTTAACATTAACCCATTTAAGATAGATAGATAGATAGATAGATAGATAGATAGATAGATAGATAGATAGATAGATAGATAGATAGATAGATAGATAGATAGATAAAAGGATGCCTAAGGAAACACCTCTTTGCTTCCTACAGCCTAGATCTCAGTATAGTGTATATATACCTTAGTTCCTTTTATTCAGAGGTTAATATTTCTCACAGAAGAAATATTTAGAAATTACATTTTTTCATTTTTACGAAAATGATGAAAGTAAATAAATGAACTTGAATGCCAATGTACGATAAATATATACATTTTAACCTAGACCCCTGTTATTTTTCTCCTAACACACCCCGCCCAAAAGAAAATATCAGGAATTGGTTTTTTGCTTAGTCAGATGTAACTAATGCGTAAACAATTCAATAAAGAGTTCCAAAAAAAGAAAGCAGAAAGTGGCGTACTACAAGTACATCCAAAAAAATTTAATCTTAAAATAGATTAGGGACAGCTGCGGATTAATATGTCTGTGAGATAATTTCTCTATGAATCCGGAAGCAGAATCGTGGTAAAGATCTGTATCTGTGTCCAATATTCAAAATTTAACAAGTTAAACTGGCCGACGGCATTATACAACCTCTTTTATATGAATAATTCACGCCTTTCAGGGTTTAATTAATAGTTAATTGTTATTTTAATGTTCTTGGAAATATCATTTAGTATAATTTATCTAAACTATGAAGTTAATAAACTTTACCACGCATGGTTTATCATCTTGACTATAGAGTTTATCATCTTAACCATAGAGTTTGTCATCTTAACCATAGAGTTTATCATCTTAACCATAGAGTGTATCATCTAAACCATTGCGTTTATCATCTGGCCATGGAGTTAATCATCTAAACCATGGAGTTTATCGTTTAAACCATGACGTTTATCACCTAAACCATGAAGTTTATCACCTAAACCATGGAGTTTATCATTTAGACTTGGGAGTTTATCATCTAAATCATGGAGTTTTATCATTTAACCCATGGAGTTTATCATCTTTGCAATAGAGTTTATCATTTTTGCAATGGAGTTTATCATCTAAACCATAAAGTTTATCATTTAAACCATAGAGTTTATCACCGTAACCATGGAGTTTATCACTTAACCCATGGAGTTTATCATCTTTGCAATAGAGTTTATCATCTTTGCAATGGAGTTTATCAATTTTGCAATGGAGTTTATCATCTAAACCATGAAGTTTATCATCTAAACCATGAAGTTTATCACCTAAACCTTGGAGTTTATCATCTACACTTGGGAGTTTATCATCTAAATCATGTAGTTTATCATTTAACCTATGGAGTTTATCATCTTTGCAATGGAGTTTATCATCTAAACCATGCAGTTTATCATCTAAACCTGGGAGTTCATCATCTAAATCATGGAGTTTGTCATTTAACCCATAGAGTTTAACATCTTTGCAATGGAATTTATCATCTTTGAAATAGAGTTTATCATCTTTGCAATGGAGTTCTTCATCTTTGCAATGGAGTTTATCCTTTTGCAATGGAGTTTATCATATTTTCAATGGAGTCTAATATCTAAACCATGAAGTTTATCATCTAACCATGGAGTTCATTATCTAAACTATGGAGTTTATAATGTAAATCTTGGAGTAATCATTTAAACCAAAAAGTTTATTATCTAAACCATGAAGTTTATTATCTAAACCAAGGAGTGGATCATCTATACCATTAAAGTTTATAAATATTCATTTGTAATATTGTTCTAATTCCAAAATGTCAGACAAAAGAATATATAGTTTAGAAACAAGTTTGTTTTTATTTGTTTTTTTATGGGGCTAATACAGGATTATTGTGACAGGAAGGATTTAGCTAATGAGGGGTTTAACAAAGCTGGGTTCCCACGCAAATATAGCCTATAACGTTTATGTTTAAACTGTTTCATAAAAGATATGAATTATTTTCGAAATAATTTTGCAGCTTTTTTTGTTGTAAATTTTCAAATTTCAAAAAGGACCTTTAAAAATAATGATCAGCAATCTAACCTTCCCTGGGTTTATATCAGGTTCCATCTAAAAATGGGACCAGATCTGTTTTTGAATGTTGTGAATAAATTTCCGATAAAATTTTTAATATTATAATATTTAGAAAAACATGAATATTATAGTCATCAATAATTATATTTAGAAAAACATGAATCATCATTTTCTGTCTATTCCTTCTTTAACGACTGAATTACCTATTTAAAAACAAAACAATAACATTTTGATTATCATCATTTTTATTATCATTTCAACACAGGAAAGGAAATAAAGAAATAAATTTGTTATAGTTGACTATATCAAGAGTACACCTTACTATTTTAAGATTTCGATAATAATAAATCAACGCATTAGATAACCTGTTCTTGTCAATTCTTATTAAATTCGTTTATTTGTTAAATTGTATAATGTTGGTTCTGTGATAAATAAGAAGTGATATTACTTCACGAACTGAAGGAATAAAAGAATGATTGGTCAACACCAAGTGTTGATAAAGATTTTGTTTGTTGGGGGGGGGGGAGACCGTTATACCCCCCCCCTCCTCCTCCTCCTGGAACTCCTGTTGGCAAAAAAGCAAGTCCAGATTAAACTTATAAATCGGATTAAATGACTCGACGGTAAAGTTACTAAATTCTACACCTTCAAGTGCTTAATTCAATATATAAGCCGTTGTAAGACATCAAAAACACAACTGAATATACAGGGCTACCAACAAAGGAAGAGAATTCAAAGACGACTGTGCGTCATACTTTCTGTTTTCATATGTTAATATGTGAAATTGTTTTTTTTTTCTCGGCGAAATCTTAAATTATTCCTTAAGACGCCTCCATTTTATGACACTATAATAATATGTTTAAGACATAAGATTTTAATTATGTATATTTTATATCAATGATAGTTGAATAGACACGATTCTTACCATTATTTTCTTATATTCCTTATTTTCTAAAATTGTATTCGCAGATTTCTTAACATTTCTTCAATTGTCATCATTAACATCAATTATGTCTTCCATTTCCTAAATCGTTAATTTGTTTAGACTTGTTCGATGAAATTTTAAAAAAAGGGGCATGCCCAATTCACGCTGATAGGCTGAAACCCTTTATCCAGATCCTTTATTGCTTCTGGGACCGTTGTGAATCGGACATGACCCTTTTTAAATGGAGGATAGACTTGAAATCATGTTCCTTTAAAGGGAGTGACCGGCAATTGGACAAATTCTTTAGGATTCATTTGAGACATATAAAACGTTTCCACGATGTACAATTACCGAGTTTGAGTGCAAAGTCGACGTTTAAGATCATGAATTTGGGTGGGTGCGTTTTCAGAATCGTTTTATTAATAATTAAATAACGAAGACGAAAAATAAAGTAAAAATTATACAGTAAACTAATTGGATGTTTAGGAACATATTTCTCGATAGAAAGGAATTGAGTCTTTTCCACAAACTCTGATTTTCTAATCACTATATATCTTTGGAATCAAATGTTGCAGATCTTAGATATTTCAAACTATGAATTCTGTTAGATCCAATAATCTGAGTTTGAAATATCAAAGGTTTACAACATCGAGTTCTAAAGATATTGAGGTTTAAATCTTTGATTTTGTTCCAAAGACTAAATTCCTTTTTCAATAAATCAATGTTAGAATCAATTATTTCGTTTTCGGCAATATATTAAATTTCTTTTTTTCTATGCATTTGTTCGCAGATTTCTACAAATTCTTCAAATAACGTCTTTTCACTAAAAATTCCAGAAAATCTTTGTGAATAGTGAAAGATTACAGGAACTAATAATTGAATAAGATTACTTTTTTCGATGATAAGAGTCAATTTTTATTTTCTCAACCTGAGTCTAAAACTAAAGAATGCGCGAATTTTAAGTTCGAGGTTAAAAGTTCTGTAAAATAATGAATAGCTACTTAAATATTAAACTTTCTCAATTTTAAATTTGAATTTCCCGGGAAAAATCTGAACCAATCAGAGAAAAGGATTTACGGAGAATTATTACGTAAGTATCAGTATTCGGTAATCAGCTGTTTTTTAAATTTTAATTAGTTGAATGCCGCTTACCACGGAATGATGATAGACAAATAGGGATTTCGGGATTTAAAGATTTTAACCCTGTGTTTAAATTTTAACTCGTCGATTTTGGCGAGTTAAATATTTAACCACAGGGTTAAATATTTAACCTCACGGTTAAAGTTCAGGTTTAAATTAAGTCAGAAGTGGCATTTAACCATAAACTTCAAATTTAAGTCAAAACTTTTTTTTCTTTAGTTTTAGACTCTGTTTTTAAACAAATAATTAGTTTACTGTAGAATTTTGTTTACATTTTTTGTCGTCGCTGTTTAATGATTCAAATAAAAACGATTCTGAAAATATACCCATCCAAATTTATAATTTTAAATGTCTTCTTTGCGCTCAAACTCAGTAAATATACGTCGTAGAAACGTTTTATATGTCTCAAATGAATCCTAAAAAATTTGTCCACACAGTCTAACCACCAAACATTGCCGGCCATTCCCTTTAAATGTGTTTCCAAGTGCATTTTTAATTCTGAAACATATCCCTGTTTTCTGGTTTGTGGATTTTTACGTTCTAAATCAGTTGCATTAATTATATTTTTAACTGGGGGGTTCTTGACCTTTAGAATTTATTTATTGCCCGGTCCTATATATATATATATATAATATATATATATATACCAGGGTTTAATATATATATATATTTACCAGGGTTTAATATATATATATATCAGGGTTTATTCCTTACTTCCGGCAAAAAATATCAACTCTATATTAAAACAATTTATCAATAGTTATTAACATTACTTATATAAAATGATTTCATTTTTTATTATTTCTATTTTTATTTCTAAGTTATTAAAAATCATTAAAGTTTTGTTCATTTTATCTAACAAACAGAAATACTTAGAAATTACGAAAATTTTGTTCGGAATTATGAACGGAATTTACACATCCCT